TGAGAATAATGTGTCATGCGTTTCCATGGTAATGTATATCAGTCTGTCTGGTGCAGTCCTGTTTATTCATTTAAACACATAACTCATGACATCTTTATTTCACAGATCATTCACCTGATTATTAATGATCAACATATGCCTTGATTAGCTTATCACAAATAAAGTACTTTGATTAATTAATGAAAAGCGTTCTTCTTCTGTTCTTCTGTCTCTTCTCCTGGAATGTAAACATACTGAACCAAGCGTCCGACCTTGGCGATGTTACTGTGTGAAGGGGCAGCTGTTAAGGGCAGACCATTATAAGCTTCATAACGCTACACAGTCCTCCACCAGCCTGCACCGGTCCAGGCTAGAGCCTTGCAGGTGAGTTATTTTTAACCATCTGTCTCTTTTTACCTTCTAGTTTTAATATGTAATTATTTTAGCTTATTGTTACACATGTGTGTTGCTGCTCTTAAAAACAACTATAATTGTTGTTTCTTTATATTTCACATAGCCTCCCAGCAGCAGTGTGTCTGACACTGGGACCATGATGGGAATTCCACCCAGATCAGCTTCTACACTCCTGAACAGACCCAGGTGTGGTGGAGAGCTTCTGAGCAGCTTCCATATGAATTACAGGACAAGCTCTATGAACTGATCCAGGTAAAAACATTCTAAATAATAATAGTGTACTCTGTATTCTGTTTGTTTACCTTACATCTCTGCCTGGCTGGTCACCACTGGAGAGGAGTATCTTCCCAGACTCACACTAACATCCCATTTAACCTCAGGGCCTCCTGTTCTAACAGAAAAACCTGCAGCTCCATCCTTGCTCTGCTTTCCACATGTTTCTCATCATCTCTGGAAATGGCCTCCCACAACACTGTGATGTTATATATAATTTTATTTTTTCAGGCTAAATGAACCCAAGTAATCTGCTGTCAGACTGATTGTTGCAGCTACAAATGGTCCAGACTAACATGAAGCCTTGCAGATGTAGTAAAGATGAGTTGTTTTTAATCATTATGTAATCTTCCTTACCTTTGAGTTTTAACATCATCTATATGTTTTAGTTTCATAGCTTATTGCTACACGTGTGTTGCTGCTGTGAGCTTGGAGCTAGATTAACGTATTTTCCGGACTTTCGCTCCCTCCGGTTAATAGACGACACCACGGTTCTTCATTCACTGATGGATTTATTCCTCCTTCACACTTCTCCTCCAAGACACTATTAATCCACCGTCAAACTGTCATTACACCAAAGTACAGAATAACCAAATATAAATATTACAAAAAAAGCATTAACCCAAGTTCACAGATACTCAATAAATAAACACAGTTAACGTACCTCGCTGGCTGCACGTAACCATAAGGGAGTGAATCCGCTTCAGGAACAAAACTTAACAAAGGTAATTCGCTGGTTTCTTCTTCGTCTTCTCTACAGCTTTCCCTTACTTTAAACTGCTTATTTATTCATTCCTGTGACTGCGTAGGTTATAGCTCAGCTTCTTTTCACATGCTCTTTTACTTCCCTTTCCGTCACCCAAAATGGGCCGTGCGCAACACAGCATGAAACTTAGTTCCTACCCCAAAGAAACAACAATAGACCAGGGAAATAAGATACATACATAACACAATAAATCAAACAAATTGACATAATTTACATTGTGGCAGTTAAACTCCCACCAAATCTCAACTTGAGATTTCCCTGTAGATTTGAACCTTCAAGTGATAAGCATTTACAACAGTTTAACACATGCTTATTCAGCTTCAACCAGTAGAACTATTTTTTGCACCGGCCTTTCAAGATAAACTGGCCTAGTTGAACGTTTTCCCCGTTCATCCAAAGTTGAGTCGCTAACCAACAGCTTCACCTTTCTGACCCTTCCGTCAGCGCTGGGGTACACCTCTGTGACTCTTGCTAGTCTCCAGTGATTTCGTGGAGCACTGTCCTCTTGAAGAATAACAATGTCATTGACCTTGATGTTTTTCTTATCCCCATGCCATATCTGTCTTTGCTGGAGATTAAGAAGGTACTCCCTCCTCCACCTTGTCCAAAACTCGTTCGCCAAGAACTGCACCTGCCGCCATCTCTTATGCAGGTATAAATCTTGACTTACAAACTGACCTGGAGGTGGCAATATGATGTTAGACTTCATCAGCAGAATGTGATTTGGTGTGAGCGGTTCAAGACTTGTTGGATCATTCAGGTGCTCTGTTGTCAGGGGTCTGCTATTTATTATAGCCATCACTTCATACAAAAATGTCCTAAGTGAGGCAGTGTCAAGTCTTTTAGCGGACTGATCAAGGATTGCTGTTAGGACACTTCTGACTGTCCTTATTTGCCTCTCCCAAATTCCTCCCATATGGCTTGACGATGGGGAATTCATTACAAACTCACAGCCATATTCCTTCACCTGCTCATGATCCCAGTTCTTCATTGAGTCCATGAACTCTCTCTTTGCGCCCACAAAGTTGGTACCTTGATCACATCTCAACTGCCTAACATTCCCACGTATTGCAATGAATACGCGCAATGCATTGATGAAAGCATCCGAACTGAGGTCATCAAGCATCTCGATATGTACAGCTCTGCAACACATACAAGTGAAGAGAAGGCCATACTTCTTCAGTTCCTTTCTTGCATCCTTCACATAGAATGGTCCGAAGCAATCCATGCCACAATATGTGAATGGCGGGGTTATTTCCACTCTGTCCTTTGGCAAATCTGCCATTTTTGGGTCGTGCTTGTTCCTTCTATACTTTCTGCATGTGACGCACTTAAAGATGTGTGAGGCAACTGCACCACTGCATCCAACGACCCATATCCCATTAGATCGCAACTCATTTACAGTCATACCTCTTCCTTGATGCTGCACCTTCTCATGATAATGCTTAATAAATAAAGAAGACACATGGCTTGTTTTTGGCAGAATAGCAGGATGCTTAACGTGCGGATGAAGATCACTTCTTGTCAAGCGGCCGCCTACTCTAAGCACACCCTGCTCATCCAAAAATGGACTTAATTTACATAGCTTGTTTGCTTTGTCTTTGGATTTTACATCCTTGCATTGTTGCAAATTCTTGATTTCACTGCTGAATACTTCTCTTTGGACCAATATGATTAAGAAAAGTTCAGCTTGTTGTCTTTCCTCAACACTTGTACTTCCACTGAGTTTGGGGCTAAGACCCTTAACTTGCTTAGCATGACGTTTAAGACAAGCAATAGCCTTCACAACTCTTTTCCAGTCAGAAAACTTGGTCAAGCGATCCACCAATGTTCTATTTGTCCTTGCACTGGTGATGAGTACTTGAGCCCTTTGAAGTTCTGGATCAGTATCACTAACCTCTCCCACCTTGGCATCCTTTGTTGGTAGTTCCCTTTCCCACAGAAAGTCTGGGCCAGTGAACCAATTTGAAGCAACGAGCCGATCTGCCGATAACCCTCTCGAAGCATGGTCCGCCGGATTGTCTTCAGACTGCACAAGATACCATTGGTTGACATCTGTGGTGGCTTTGATTCTCTGGATCCTATTTGCCACGAAAACATGGAAGCGTCTGGCATCATTCTTAATATACCCGAGAACAACCTTAGAATCTGTCCAATAATATTCCTTAAGGTTGTCTATTTCAAGCTCATGGTTTAACATAGCACCTATCTTCGCAGCAACCACTGCTGCAGACAGCTCAAGCCTTGGAATCGTTGTGACCTTAGTGGGGGCAACACGCGCTTTCCCCATGACAAGTGAGCAGTGTACACTGCCATTAGAGTTCACTGCTCTTAGATAAGTGCACTCCCCATAACCTGTGAAGCTAGCATCTGAGAAGTGATGTAGCTCGTACTGCTTGACATCTATGAAGCTTGCTGGTATGTAGCACCTCTTAATTTTTACTTGACACAAGTTATGGAGATCTTGTAACCATGACTGCCACTGTGATCTGCACTCCTCTGAAAGTGGTTCATCCCAACTAACTTTCTCTCGACTCAACTGTTGCAAGATCAACTTACCACGCAAAACAAACGGTGCTACAAAACCCAGAGGATCGTAGATGGAAGCTACTGTGGATAGCACTCCCCTTCTCGTCATCGGGTGTTTCTTGACAGTTACTCTGAACTGCAAGTCATCAGAGGATACGCACCATTGCACGCCCAGTGCTCTTTCTAGGAGTGGCTCCCCTAAATCTATGTCCAGCTCTTTGACACTGTCAGCACATTCTTCCCTTGGTATTGATTCCAATACCTTCTTGCTGTTGGAAATGAACTTGTGCAGTCTAAGCTTGCCTGCACTGCAAAGCTCTCTAGCTTCCTTGATCAGTTCAATTGCCTCCGCATCAGACCCTACACTCACCAGTCCATCATCAACATAAAAATTTCTTCGGATGAACCTGACAGTGCTTTCGTTAAATCGATCCTGACCTTCTGTGGCTAGATGTTTAAGTCCAAAATTGGCACAGCCAGGTGAAGAAGCTGCTCCAAACAAATGGACTTTCATCCGAAAAACTGATGGTGGAGCCTCGAGATTATCATTCTCCCACCATAAGAACCTCAAGTAGTCTTGGTCTTCAGGCTTTACATGGAATTGATGGAACATTCTTTCCACATCACACATAATAGCGACTGGGCCCTTTCGAAATCTACAAAGAACTCCCACCAAGGTGTTTGTGAGCTCAGGACCTGTAAGAAGGTAGTCATTCAATGACATGTCTTGAAATCTTGCCGAGCAATCAAAGACCACTCGCAGTTTCTCTGGTTTTTTAGGGTGGTATACGCCATGGTGAGGAATATACCAAGCTGATTGTCTATCAAGCTCCTCTTCTGGGATCCTTTCTGCTTCACCACGACTGATAATGTCCTTCATGAAGTTCATGTAATCTGCCTGATATTTCTGGTCTCTCTTGAGTCTCCTCTCCAAGCACTTAAGGCGTTGGACAGCACATGGTTTGTTATTTGGTAACTCTGGCCTGCTCTGTTTGAAAGGCAGAGGCATTTCAAGATGTCCATCTTCTTTGTGTCTAATTTATTCTTTCATTTTGGTCAAAAACTGGAGATCTTCTTGCGAAAGATTTGCCTCTTCTCCAATTCTTTCACTGAAGTCCGATTCCAGCACCTTAAGTACATCTTCTGGAGCAGTCAGTTCTTTAATTCTTGTTTTGAAGACATAATGAACGTTGCTCTTCAGATTACTTGTTACTTTGGGTTCAGGAATCACTTGCCTTACAATGATGCGGTGACTTACTCCAATCGCATCACTGTAGTTTTCACTTGGATCACCATAGCTTACTATGCTCCAGCCTACGTCAGTTTTCTGTGCAAAGGGCTGGTTGTCCTCACCACATACAACTTCTCTTGGCATCAGTGCTTGTGGACAGTTATACCCAATAAGAAGACCGATTTCATAGTTCTTCGGTGGGGCAATGTGTTCTGCAAGATGCTCTAAATGAGGCCATGCCCTTGCTGTCTCAGATGTTGGAATGTGTGTGCGATTGGCAGGTATGAATTCACGAGTGTAGACCGTTGGCACTGTGATCTTCTTAGAAGAAGATAACCCTCTTATTTGTAAACCTTTGATTCTTTTGCATGGTACAATTGTTTCCTTGGATGACATTGTGGACAGCTTCAACTTGACTGGCTCTGCATTAACATCAAGAGCATCCACTACTTCTTCAAGAATGAATGAAGAGTCACTTTGTGAATCTAACAGAGCATAGACAAGGACCTCTTTATTTGAATTACCAGGCATTGACGCGTAAACAGGAACTATTGCTGAAGTCTGAGCACTGTTACCATCATGTACAACTCTATTGGATGTGGTTTCTTGAATGGTGTCTTGCAGCGATTGTAGCGTTCTTTCCTTAATGCAACTCGTCCCATCATTTTCTTGTTGTTTTGAGCAATCCTCATGTAAGCATGTGGGGTGACGCTTAGAGCAGGTGTCACAGACCATCCGGTTGCTGCAATTCTTGGATTGATGGCCAGGACTCAAACAGCCGAAACACAGTTTCTCACCTTGAATGAACTTCACTCGGTCAGCAACTGGCCTTGCAGTTAGTCTACGACACTTGTGCAGGACATGTCCTGTTTTCTTACAGAACATACATGTGCTTATGTTCTTCTCAGTGGTGTTAGTGGTAAAAATCCTTGCACTTGCTGCTTGGCTCTTAGGGGTCACTACATTCTGCGGTTTAGATCTTGTCCTTTCCTGCTCCCCTTGCCGCAAAGCATAGTAAGATGTAACAGGGTTACAAGCAATACTAGCCTCCAAGGTCAGGAAGGTTACGAAATACTTGAAATCTGGGAACCTCCCATGCTCCAGCTGATACTGTGTGGCTTTTCGGTTCCATCTGCTGCTTAACCAATCAGGCAACTTGGCTGTCAGCCTTTGATTTTCGACGTCATCATCAAGAATACGCAGACACTCATTTTGAGTCATGGCACATTCACAACTGCGTAAAAAATCCACAAATTTCCTTAAGTCAGTGCTCTCTCTTGACGCTATTTTTGGCCAGGCATGTAATTTGTCTCGGCAGGCCTTTGCAATCATAAAAGGCTGGCCGTATCTCTCATTGAGCAGTCCCCATGCAGCTACATATGCAGTATCTGAACCAATCAGGAAACAACCTTCTAATGCCTCTCTAGCTGCTCCTCCAACATATTTCTGAAGAAAGAATATTTTCTCTGAACTTGAAATATTTTTCCTTTCAATAAGAGTTTGGAAGGATGATTTCCAATGATTAAACTTGAGTGGATCACCATTAAAAACTGTGGGCTCTGGAATGGGTAGCCTATTTGCTGATATAGCCTCAGCTAAGACTATCACAAGCTCTCCTGTGCTGTCTTGAACCACATGTGTTGGCACTGCATCCTTTGGTGATTGTGAGTGCCAGTTGTCAGATTTCATTTGGTTGCGTGGCTGCATAACCTCATGTAGATCTAGGCTCTGTGGAGCATTCCTTTGTGCTGGGCTGAGCTCATTCTCATCATACACTTGAAGCCTTGCTTTGGCTGCATTCATCCTTTTCAAATTCTCTAAACGATCAAGCTCTCTCTTTAGGTTCTCAACAGACCTCTTTCTTGCAGCATTCTCTTCTTGCTGTTTCTTTGAGAGCGGCCTCTTGTTTCTCTCTTTCTAGCTTGCGTTCGGTTTCTTCTCTTTCTCCTTCAAGACGACGAGCTAATGCGGCTGCTTCTTGGTCTGCGATGATCAACCTCTCTTCAACTTCAAGCTTTTGCAGCTTCTCTTGGTGGTCCTCTTGTTCAGTCATAATCTGCAGTACAGCCCGTGTAGCTGCATACTCGGCAGCAGCTTCTTGTCTTCTAAGTGAAGATACATTTGAGTGAATAGAAGATGCTTTAGAACCATTAGAGGCAGAAAGTGAAACACTGCAAGTTGAAGATGCGAATACAGAACTGTGATCTGGCCAAATCAACTCCTCAGCTGTACCCTGTATTTCAAATTGAGCATTTTGTAATACAGTCTTGGTGATCGAGATGCAGTTATCCATCTTGCGACGCATGTCATGGGATGGTTGATCAATTTTTCGGTAGTCATCATAAGCAATGTTCAATTCAGATAATTCCCTTTGAATACCGATGATGTGTTCTTGTAGGATGTCACTAGGATCCTGTTTTAACACAGATCTTTTAGCTACTTTAATTAGAGCTTTCCATCGCTCATATTTGCTGTCAAAGCGAAGCACTAGCCCCTTGATTTGCTTTTTCTGTAACTCCTTTCCCTTTTCTGTTAATGTCCGGGCTCTTTCACTTCTACGAGGCACTTCAGGTGGTGCTATATTTTGCCCGATATTTGATTCATCTGTCTGCTCTAACTCGGTCTCTTCTTCCAGAGCAGCTGCTGCACCCTGAGCTTCTTTACTTGTATGTGACATTTTGATTATTTGTACACAGGCAACATACAAGAGCAAGCTGCAACACTATTTGTCAATGCTAAATAAGGGGCTTAACTAACTAAAGTCACTCTCCATGTAGAATATTACAGAGTAAGTGCACTTAACAGAGTTCTTCTTATAACCTGTCACACACCGAACTTGTAAAGACACTGAACCGTAAATACAAGCTGTGGATGTTTACCAAATGTACAAGGTGTGCTTCTGCTCCTTAAGAGCCAACTATTATTATTCAACTGAACATGAACTTACATCTCTTACTTAAGTGCACATTCATATACGTGAAACACCGTGGCTGCCAGGTTATACACAGTCCCTCTTAGTTTTCAACTCTTGTGTCACTTTTCAGACCAAAACTTTAGAGTCTGACTTATAGACTTCTTGATGAAAACCTTATGAACCTGTGTGGCCTAAACAGTGGCTTATCTGTGTTCCCGTCTTGATGAGCTGCCGAACTTGCGCTGATAGGGCATGTTTGGGCCTCGAGTTTGACTTTCGCTCCCTCCGGTTAATAGACGACACCACGGTTCTTCATTCACTGATGGATTTATTCCTCCTTCACACTTCTCCTCCAAGACACTATTAATCCACCGTCAAACTGTCATTACACCAAAGTACAGAATAACCAAATATAAATATTACAAATAAGCATTAACCCAAGTTCACAGATACTCAATAAATAAACACAGTTAACGTACCTCGCTGGCTGCACGTAACCATAAGGGAGTAAATCCGCTTCAGGAACAAAACTTAACAAAGGTAATTCGCTGGTTTCTTCTTCGTCTTCTCTACAGCTTTCCCTTACTTTAAACTGCTTATTTATTCATTCCTGTGACTGCGTAGGTTATAGCTCAGCTTCTTTTCACATGCTCTTTTACTTCCCTTTCCGTCACCCAAAATGGGCCGTGCGCAACACAGCATGAAACTTAGTTCCTACCCCAAAGAAACAACAATAGACCAGGGAAATAAGATACATACATAACACAATAAATCAAACAAATTGACATAATTTACATTGTGGCAGTTAAACCGGACTGTAAGGCGGTACTTTTTCCCCACGCTTTGAACCATGCGGCTTATAATATAATTATAATGAGGTGCGGCTTCACTGAAGATTTTCCTTCACATGCCAGGGGGCGCTTTAGCAAAATGTGAAACAGGTGGAAGTCAAAAGTGAAAATCGAAGAAAGTGCTCGTTTTAATTGAGCACATGTAAGCAGCCAGCACGACGAAGAATTCTTTTCAAATCCATACCTCCCTCTTCATGGTAACTACATGTATGAGTTCATATGATGCCGCCTTTAAGTTGAAGGCCATCGATCTGGCAGTAAAGGAGGGAAACAGTGCTGCCGTATGTAAGCTTGGCATGAATGAATCCATGGTTCGGCGCTGGAGATGGCAGCGGGAAGAACTCATTCAAGCCAGCTTCACCCGGGAATGATGACAGCAACACGGAGAGCGACACTGACATCGCCACAGAAAAAGTATGTGACGAAGCTCTTCGGAGGCTGTTCAACTCCGACACTGAAGAAGAGGACTTTAATGGCTTTAGTGCGCAAGAGGAAGATGAGAGCGAATGACTTTTTCTTGTAGGCAAGTGTGTTTTATTTACTAACCAGGCATGTTTTGTGTGCAGTTTTTATTTTCTATCATCCAGGGCTTATTAATGCTGTGTCAGCGCTGTTCTTTTCTTCTAAACATGCATGCAAATTACCGGTAATAACATGTCCGTTCTCTTTTTATTTTATAACCATCCAGAAATATTAACGCTATCCGTGCTGTTTTCTTTTCTAAACTTGCAGGCACGTTCACCCGTTTTTAAAATTCGTTTTGTTGAATTAAAACAACAACGAAAAACCTCCGTGTAGCATCTTTCTAATTATCTTATGTTGTGGCCATACATGTGCTGTGCGCCGGAAACCTGCATGCGGCTGCTGCGCCGCGGCTTGTATTTGAGTGCAGCGTGTGTTTGTAGAAAACCTTTTTTTTGTTGGTGCGGCTTATATTGAGGTGCGCTCTATAGTCAGGAAAATTCCGGTACATCATGAAGGAGGCGACTGATTCTGGTCCTGTGACACGTGGTGACGTGTGAGCTGATTCACCTGGTAAATAACTTTTACATTAAATATTTTGTTTTTTGCTGTCAAAAGTAAATTAACTAATAACCTGCATTATTGCAGGACACTCAGCAAAATATGGACGCTACATCATGAGGCAGGCATGTGTTAAGATTCTATAAGAGCACATGAGGTGAGCAACACCTCATATTATTATTATTGTACACTGTCCTGGATTTGTTTTCTTTCTGCATCTCATCATTAGCCTGGCTGATCACCTGATAACTCCTGTCATCTGGTTATGACTTTACCTGAAGGACTAACAGTGGAAGGAAAAGGATACACACTCCAGGGGCGGAGCTACGGGGGGGGGGGGGGGGCAGTGGGCCCCTGGCCCTGGCTTGGGAGGGGCCCGGCCATGAGGGGGGTGAGAGGAAATGGAGAAAACTGCGCCTCTAATAAAGGCCGTTTCACACGGCAGGAGTCTGCAGAATGTGACAAAATTGCGAGCTAAAACTCTCAATTCCGAGAATAATTTTATGTGTTTTACAGAAAAATATTTCCTAGAGAAAACTAAGAATTTCTTTGTAATTAAAGGCAGACATTTTCGCTACCTAAAGTAAGATTTTCTGACCTTGTAAGGTCAGAAAATGCAGAACAAATACTTTTAAATTAATGAGGAAAAGTTTAGTTTAGAAAGCAAAAATGTGCCTTTTAAAGAGCAAGTCACCCCCAAATCAACTTTTTTTTGCTGATAAACTACATAAACGAGTGTCTAATCGTGCTGCAGACACGTGTGGTCAATAATTTGGCACTTCAGTGCATCTTAGCTAAAATGTAAATATTCTGCCTAAAACTTTCAGTGTTGCGCCGTCGTCAGGGAAAAATTCTGCACTGTATCTGAATTTAAATCTGCCACCGCTATTGGCTAAGAGGTATGCTATGATGTTAGCTGGTACATTATGATGTCACAATGCCATTGTGAGCCTGTGTGTGTGTGTGTATTTGTTAGCGGCTCCACCCTCCCGGTCTGCCAGGCAACAGCATTTGTTGCATTTTTCAAACATGAAGTGGGAGGGGAGTTAGTAAATTGTAGGGGGTGACTTGCTCTTTAAGAAATTCTTAGTATTTTTAATTCCTAATGGTCACTTCATTTGCTAGAAAAAACTGAGTCTTTAAAAGCTATTACAATAAACTTCAAGATTCCTGCATATACTCTGATTCAGTCATTAACTTAAAGTAGGAGACTTGAATACAATGCTTTCCAATAAATTGTGATTGTGATTAGGGCTGTGTTGTCTACATATCACTTTTACATAAGTAGGTTGAAGAACTGTATTGTTAAAACTTCAGAAATAATTTATCTCTAGATTTGTTTTTGAGAGCATGTTCATTTCTGTGCATTTTGCTCAAGCACTGATCAAATTTTTGAAACTTTGCCCATTTTTTCCTGCAGAGGGGATACTGCTAGACCAAAGTGAACTCCTGATCGACACTGAAGTCTTGTATCTTCGACACCATGCCATTAGAAACTCCATTGAGTGCTTTCCTTCACCAAGGCAGGACCCAGTGACTCATTACAGTTGATCGGTCAGGGGCAGGTAATTATGTGTTTCATGTTTATTTATTTATTCCTCCACTGATTACCTGCCATAATATATGAACACATGTTGTATTCTCAAGATCTATGCTATGGGAAGGAATAGAAAAATATGTTTATTTTGTTTTCAAATGCTATGTCAATTTTTCTCATTGTTTATCAGTAATTTTCATCAACTTATTTGAGCATCTTTATATTTTTCTATATTTAATGGTTGCAAATGTTAAATGTACAGTCATTTTTTTAATTTTCTCATTGTACTGTCAAATGTACGGTAAAATACCGGCAGCTGTGGTTGCCAGGAATTTACCGTAAAATGTATCAAGTCTAAATAAAATGCTGTAATTTCTTATACTGTTTCACTGTGTTTTTACTGTCAAAGTTTTTAACAAGGTTTACCATATTTTTATTTTTACAGTTATTTGGCATAATAAGTTTTATCCTATTACTGTTAAATGAACAACAAATCAATGTAAATATTAATATAATATAACATTTTTTAACTGTAAATAGGATTACAAAACCAGTATACCGTATTTTCTTTTACAGATTACACATTTTTTTCACGGTATATTCCTGGCAACCACAGCTGCCGGTATTTTACGTAAACTTGACAGTTTTATTTTTTACAGTGTAGCTGCTGTTTCTCTCATGGCTTTGGTAGATAGAGGGAGCTACTCTCCTGTAGTTAACCCTTCTCTGATTGGGTGACAGTTTGATGATGCTGAAGATTTTCCTCTTTAATTCTCACCAACAGGCAGCTGCTCTGCAGGAAAACTGTAAATATATAATTTTATCTCATATATGCTTGAATATTTAATGACAGGAGATTGAACAGCCACTTCTGTTTCTTGCAGCCTTTATTTGATTTGAGGATGAAACACTGAATGACCATCTGCTCTAACCTTGTTCCATCAGCCATAAACAAGCCGGCTCCATCAGTGAAAGAAAGGAGGATAAAAAAAAGAAAAAGAAAATGGGTCCTGGCCAAATATTTGCCGCTCTTCAACCTCATTTGGTTTAGGGTGTTCTGTGTTTGCATTTCAATGACCCGCGGTCAGTGTCAGAACCGAGACACGTGTGTCCCTGACGAGCCGTCCCCCTGATAAGACGCCAGCAGAGCAGTTAGGCCTTGCAGGATGGGAGCAGGGTGAAGGATGGAGCAAACACAGGCAGGCTGCTGGTTCACACAGCGGTTCTGGTATCAGCTCCCCGAGCTTCTTTTATTTCCCTCCTAGCAGCTTGTAAAATCGCCCCACTGAGGTGTCAGGAAAAAGCATTTGGGACCAATTGTTATTCATTGCTTTTATTGTCTGAAAGGCACTTGTCGATAAATACACCTCCCACTGCTCAGTCAGGCAGATTCTCAAATCCTCTTAATTACTGCTCATGCAAATCACACATCAGAGCTCCTGAAACATTTTGCAAAAGAAAAAGAGTGTGAGAGGATAAAGGAATGCAGCAGCAGAATGTGTGTGTGTGCATTTCTTTTTATTGGCTGCAGATATGAAATTAGCTGAGGAGGATGGGATTGTGTGGATTAGGCAGACAGATTTCACCAAACCAGGACTCTCTACGTGTAATTCATTTTGGCGTCCTTGAAATTGCTACTGTGAGAAATTCAGCATCTGCAGCCACAGTGAGAGTCCTCAAATATAGACAGAATCCACCCCCTGCCCCCCTGCTTTGCCCACAACACCCTCATCACCACTCCCATGTTCTCCTACGTGAATGGAAGTGGGGGCGAGAATGAACCGGTTTGGAATTTCTGTTCAATTCTGCAGCTCTTAAAAATATTTGGAGTCTTTGTGGGGAAAATCTGACAGTTTGATACCTCTCAGTGGGCACCACTAATCCTCTGAAAGAGTGTTTGAGTGTTAGTTTGCACAAATCACAAAAAAATAAAAGCTGCTGGTATTTTTCTTACAGAATCAGAACATGGAGCCAGTTTCGTTTTAATCAGCTGAAGCTTTTAGATCAGCGGAGCACCCGGCCGGCGGCCTCGGGGTGGCCAGCCGTGAACCACAAGGTAAACATTCAGCGTCTGGCCAGGGACGTTTCTTCTGTCATACCCCTCCTGCTGCCTTTCCACCATCTCTGTGCTGGAAAAGCATGAAAATACAGTGGAAAGGTTTAATGTGGAACTATTTTCATCCAGTGACAAAGCCCCAATGACGGCGTGATTGTTGTACTGTTTCTGGGAAGATGCTCTGATACTTAGATTTGATTCTGTCTCAAAGTGGGCCTCGCAAACGAAAATCGAGCAAATTTTTTGTATTACAGCTGCAACAGGACATTAGGTTTAACTCGGGTTTTTGCAGAATTTGCAATGCCCCTCTAATTGACCCCATGACGCCGGGGCTATGTGTATTTTAATTTTAATTCTTGTCAGTGTATGCTACAAGATACTTTTTAATTGGTTGCTTTCAGACTAGCTGTAAGCATATCAGTCTCGAAGGATGTAAACTCTATCTTTCTGAACACAGGCTCTTCAGGTAGCTGTCTATAACAGGGAAAATAATAATTTTGAATAGAAACACAATTTTAAATAGTAAAAAATACTTTCACGATAATTGGAAAAAATGTTAGTTAGATTTGTTCTTGTTGCAGCAGCAACCTGAAAGGTCTGTCCAAAGTGTACTCAACCCATTACAAAATGTGACATGTCCAGTCAGAGGATTAGATCACCAATCACCTGGTGTCACTGACGGCCTCGGGGAGGCTCACCATGAACCCATCTCCAAACATCTCCACACTCTCAGCTGCACATCCTGATCTAGTAATCAGTCCACAGGTTAAAAACATTTTCCTCTCAGTCCAGAGATGATAAAGGCCTCTGCACATGCTCAGAAGTAGGAAAACCAATGAGTTATCCACAGGAACTGACCAAAGAGCAGCCAAAAGCTGCAGGGTGTTTGTTTTGTGACACAACAGGACGCTGGCATGGGCCTGAAAATGTCCATTTCTTTTTCCCTGTTCAGTTCAGTCGTGAAAGGAGACGAGGAGACATCAACCTTTAACGTGAGGATTAAAAAATCCTCCTCTTCTACAGGGAGCAGTTTTAAGCTTTTTAAATACTTTAATTCTCATGAAAACAGAAAAAACTCACCTCAGCTTGTCAGGATTATCTTGAAAGGGACACGATGAGTCGAAGAGGTCACAAGAAAATTTATGAGACACGGAAAACAGAACTGACCCAGTGAGATCTGAGCTCAGCCGTCAAAGAAAAGCTGCAGAGTCATGCTAAAACAAAACTTTAATATCAGGCGGACCTCAGAGTAAACACATGCAGACAGTGTGATAAATGCTCAACTTCTTACTATGAATTTTCATCCACACAGTTGATCCACACATCTTGTTTATGTCATGTTCTGTGTCCCTTTGTTCCCCAGCCCCTCCAGTTCTCCATCCCTCTCTAGATTCCCCTTTTGTGTCTCATAGCGCCCCTATGTGTCCTTTGTCTGCGTCTCATGTATGTGTCTTCTGTTGTAGCCCTTCTGATCATTCCCCTCAGGTCCGGTGTTCATTAAGTCATCCCCAGCCCCTCCAGGTGTAGCTCCAGCCTCTTTGTCCCCAGCTCGGTGTGTGTGTGTGTCATTCCCCAGCTCGGTGTTTGTGTGTGTGTGTGTGTGTGTGTGTGTTTGTATGCGTGTCCTTCCCCAGCTCGGTGTTTTGTGTGTGTGTGTGTGTGTGTGTGTGTGTGTCCTTCCCCAGCTCTATGTATGTGTGTGTT